TTCTCTCATGCACAACTTAACACTTAAAGCACTTAAAAACTTGCTAAATATGGTATGTGTGTATACATATTCTCTCTCTCTTCACATATATATATGTGTGTGTGTATATATACGTATATGTATACACACACATATACACACATATATATACACACACACATATATATGAAGTATATAAGTATATATAGGCACACATGCACACACACACACATATATGTCTAAATATGTGGGGGAGTACATAAGACTCACTTGAAAATTAAAAGTCAGTTTTTTTCCTCATTAGAAATATCCACATTGTAATTTCCACTTCCAGGCATACTGAAGTAGCATTCGTCAGAGTTACTGTTAAACAACCTGGCCAACAACTTGAAGATTTCTTGTAAAAGAAGGACATACGAAGCGATAAATAGGACCACAAAAGAGAAGAAACAGAGGGTGATAAAACAAAGAATTTGAGGGCAATTCAAAAATTTAAAAGCAAGAGAAAATAAAAATTTACTTAATAGACTTAAAAGCAGTTTGTTCAAAATTAATAAACATAGGACAGGGCAATGGAAACTATCAAAATTGAAACCCATATATAAATATGCCTGAAATAAATAAAAATGCATCAATGTTCTATGGAAACATTTTAAAGTTATAACTGGAGTCCTAGTAGGAAAGAGAGAGATATTGGGGAAGAAAAACTATTTGAGGAAATAATAGCCAAACTTCTTTTTAAATTTCGATGTAAAATTTCCACCCACAAATCTTAGAAGCTCAATAAATTGAAAGTAATATAACAAAAGAGAGAAAATTACTACTGTGCACATAATAGTGTGGCTAAAGAGAAAGTCTTAAAATAATCTGAGAGCTGGAGCATTTTAAAGAGGGAGCAACAAGAATGTTGATTAACGTTTTATCAACAGCAATGAGAGACAAAAATCAACAGTACACCTGTAATATCAGCTACTTCGAAGGCTGAGATAGAAAGATCACTAGAGACCAGAAGTAAGACAAGCCTGGACGGCACAACATAACAAGACCCTGTTTCTAAATAAATAAATAAAAATTAGCCTACATTATGGCACACACTTGTAGACCCAGGTACTTGGGAGGCTGAGGGAGGAGGATGGCTTGAGCCCAGGAGTTCTAGGCTGCAATGAGCTATGCTCATGTCAATTGGACTCCAGCCTGGGTGGCAGAGCAAGACTCCATCTCTAAAAATAAATAAATAAATAAATAAATAAATAAATAAATAAATAAATGTGATAATAGCAGAAAAAAGACAACTAAATTGAGAAATATAAACCCAGTTAAAATGTCACTCAAATTTGAAGATAAAATGAATATATTTTCAGATAAATGAATGCTGAAAGATCTACATTAAGTAAAATATTACCGCAGTTTTTCAGGCTGAAGGGAAATGATACCAGATGAATCTAAATTTCAAATCTAAGTTATCGAAAATACAAAAAGCTCCAGTGATGGTAAATAGGCAGGTACATATCACATTTTTCTCATTTCTTAATTTATTTAAATAAAAATTAATTAGAGAAAGTAAAATATAGGAATACATTTTGGAGTTCATTACATTTGTAGAGGTAAAATGTAAAATGATAACATAAAGAACAAAAAAGGAGGAAAATGAAAGCATAATGTTAGACAGTTGTTTTAAGTTAGGAATACATATTGTAACTCTGGATATGTGCCGTCCAATGCAGCTGCCATTAGTCATATGTGGCTATTATAATTTAAAGTAAATTAATATAATAGAAATCCTAAAAATTCAGTTCCTCAGTCACACATCACATTTTAAATGATCGATCATCAAATGTGGCTTTTAGCAACTTTTATTGGACAGCACAGATACAAGCCATTCTTTAATTGCAGAAAATTCTCATAGACTGCATTGTTCCAAATTAAACACTGTGGCATAAAATTTGGATTGAAAAGTGAATTGGAGGCAAAACAAAAATAAAATATGATAAGAAATTAAAAATTAGGATTGAAGTTGGGGACAAAGGTAGCCAATGAAAAAAAGAATAAAAATAGCTAGTCAAATTTTAGATTTAAACTCAATTAATAACTATGTTAAATATAAGTGGCCTAAACAGTCGATTAAGAAAGCAGAAATTTTCAGATTGGATAAAAAAGAAAGGCATGTTTATATGCTATTTACAGGCATACTACATTAAATAGAATGAAACCAATAGGATTATGTAACAAAAAGATACAGAATGTAAAGCCTGATTATGAAAAACATTAAGTGAAAAACATTAATATTAAAAAGTAAATTTTAAAACAATGATCAACTAGGATATTTAATATTATAAAGAGACTTCTTCAGGAGGACTTAACAAAATCAAATGTATATGCTTAAATTGATGAATATATAATCATAGTTCAAGATGTTAACACTTCTTGTAATAATTGATAGAATAAGGCTTGGTGCAGTGGCTTACGCCTGTAATCCCAGCACTTTGGGAGGCCGGGGCAGGTGGATCACCTTGGGTCAGGAGTCTGAGAACAGCCTGGCCAACATGGTGAAACCCCAGTCTCTACTAAAAATACAAAAATTAGCTGGGTATGGTGACATGTGCCTGTAATGCCATCTACTTGGGAGGCTGAGGCAGGAGAATCATTTCAACCCGGGAGGCAGAGGTTGCAGTGAGCCGAGATCGCGCCACTGCATTCCAGCCTGGGTAGCAGAGTGAGACTCTGTCAAAAAAAAAAAAAAAAAAAAAAAAAAAAAAAAAAAAAGAAAAAGAAATTGATAGAATAAGTAGGTAAAATATCAGATGGATTTGGAGCTTTCATTAGAACTCCGTAGTAGCTTAATTGGATTACCATTTATAGTACTACAAATGTGTATACATACTGATACACGTTGAAATACTGCAGAATACATGCTATTTTCAAGTACACACAAAACTTTAAGTATGACTGACTACATTCTGGGACATAAATCCTAAAACATAAAATGTTTGAAATCATGCAGAGCATGTTCTATGATAAAAATGGAATTAAATTAGAAAACAATAACAAAATAATACCTGAAATGACTCATCATAGTGAGGAATTAAGAAATACATTTCTAAATAGCCCCCAAATAGAATAAGTTGCCAAGAAAATGAGAAAATACCACTGTAAGAAAATAAAATCACAAGATATCAAAATTCGTGAAAAGCAACTAAGGCAATGTGAAAAAAAAAAAGGATTTAAATGCTTATATTAGGAAAAAAATAGAAAGTTATTGATCAAGAACTTAAGCTGCTTCTTCAGAAGTCAGAAATTTAAGAGCAAAATAAATACATAGTATACAGAAGGAAGGAAATAGGTGTTAAAAAGCATCTAGAAAAGTAATAATAGATAATTTACAAAGTGAGAAAAATGACATCATAAGGTGCTTCTATAAAAATAACAATAAAAAGATAAACAACTAGATAGAATGAACAAGTGGAGAAATAGAGACACAGAGAGAGAGTGAGGGAGAGAAACAAAGAAACAGCAGCACTAAAGCTCCCACAGACATTATAAAGTAAGTGTAAGAATATTTGAAAACTTGTACCATACAAAATAATATATAAATTATACCATTAAATTGGCCTCAATGCCATACATACTGCTGTATGAATTATACCATTAAAAAGTTCACCTCAATATAGTGCAATTCCTTGAAAATCAAAAATTCATAGAACTTCACAAAGAGATACAAATAAAATATTAATATTCCTATATATTATTTAAATAAAACAGATTTGTAATTTAATGAAAATTTAACATGAAATCTCCAGTTCCAAATGACCTCACAAGTATATTATATTAAACCTTTACAAAAGCAATCAACAGGTATCTTTACAGAAACTGACTTTCCTTTGGTATGTCAATTTGGTGAGGTTACAGTCCTAGTCATTCAGTTAAGCACTAATTTTAGTGATCCTACGAAGAATTTTGCAGATGTCACTAAAGTACAACAGCTTCTGCCTGTGCCCATGGAGCTCCATCCTGCTCCTGATCGCTTCTTGAATACTGTGAACAATAGCTTTATCTAATGCCCGTATGTTCCATCCTGTCTATGATCTTTGGTCCATAGGGTTTGATCTTGCTTAGACAGGCACTAAAATCACTTAAGTCAATTTCGTATAGTAAGTCAGTCTCTCTTTCTCTCTCTCACTTTATCATCTATATGTCTCCCTATCTATCATCTATTTATGTATATGTATATATGTATGTACACAAGCACACATACGTATGTTATAAACCTTAACAATTCTGTTTCTCTTCCTGAACGCTTACTGATACACAAAATAAATGAAGAGGAAATATAGGCCTACTCAGTTCACGTGGAGAAGTCCAAAGTGGTGTTTGGAAGGAAAAGTAAAGCCCTGTTGGAGTAATAAATGATGACAAAATGGAGGAGAATATGTATGCAAATTCTCCATAAGATCCCCAAATTGTAGAATATGAATAATAAACTGAAAAATTGAGGTGAAAATAAGAACTAGTGAGTGAGCAGAATGGTGGGGGAGGGAAGGGGTTACAAATAAAGATTTTGATGGTGGAGTAGATTCTGGCTCTGCAGCTGCTGCATGTGACTATGAGAGTGTTTAAAAGAGAAACAAAAATAATGTAAGTTATGTGAAGAAAGACCAGAGCGTAAGATATTCCTTAGGAATGGAATCTCTAGAAATAGAGATTGGTTATAAAGCTGAAGAAAGACTATTGGAGTTGAGATTTGCACTAAACTCAAGTTTCCTATAGAAAATCCCATAATCCTGGTGATTACTTTCAACGGCAAAAACTTTTCATCAAATTTTCCTAATATCAACGTATTTTCCAGCAGTGAGTGTATGGCTAGTCTCAGCCATCATAAGTATTGAAAACTGCAACGTTTCTGGCGAGTACCTAATTACCAATTAATGGGATACAATTCTGTCTTTTAACCTGCTGGTAAAAAGTTAATCCTTTTATAATTTTGAGTTCATGCATGGTCACTACTCATTAAAAGTTGAAAAGAAAACAATGCAAGTGGAAATTTTATTAACATCTATTTTTGCATACACATTCCATATTTTTGTAATTATTTTCAGTCACAGTAAGAAAAGATTGAGGCTATCTGGAGTGCCAGCATTTCAAGTTTTACATGTCATTGTATCAAGTATAGATAAATATTTATTAGCTTCCAAATAAAACTAATTATTTTCATTTCTGTCATTTCCCTTTTAACTGTAATGAAACCAGATCATTAAGCAATAAAGATGTTATCACAAAAATTAGAAACAAAACAAAGTAAACAAATAAAAGAGCAGTGGGGAGGTGACTGTGGAAGAGTTAGTGAAATCAATTGACTAAATTGATAAACTACTAAGCACAAATATGCTGTTAGGATACATAAAGAACAAGATTTATGTAAATTCAGTTCATACAGCTGTGCGCTCATTGTGGCAGGTGAGGCCAGTTCATTTGCCAGACTATCTGCTCCTGCCCCTCCCCTCTCTGGTCATCTTTCTGCTGCGCATCGAAGTCTGACAGCATTCTTGTCACCATGTAAGGTCAGTCAGCCTCCCACTGGGAACAAAGATATATGTGCTCCATTAGTTCTCTTCAGAACAACAATATTCTAAGTAAATATTACTATAGCTTTATAAGTACAAAGCTCCCAGAAATGTCCTTTCAAAACAGTATAGAAAAAAGGCTCACATTTATGGAATGTTTTATTTATTTAATTTTTGATTATATACATTGTCCAAGAGATTCTATTGCAAGAGAAATCAACCATGTAACAAACTGTCTAGAAGAAGGTGTGTTTTCAAGAAATACCAGTAATAATTATTTTGTGTTTGGAAAATAATATTTTCTATACGTAATTATGTGAAAGCTTTTGGCAGTCTTTTGATTCCAATACAAATTTCATTTTGAAATTTTACTTCAAAATTATTCAAATATTAAAAGTGTCTTCAAAATCAGAAGCTATTTTCTAGGTCATTACACATTTACTGAGAGATTATTTATAGTACATTATCTAAAATCATAAAAATGTAGTCTTTTTGGAGATGTATACTTTACAGAAGAAAATAGTATAATAGTAAACATTCATTTGTACTTCACAAAATGTCTATAGGCCAGGATATTCTGATTAACTTAGAATTAAGAAATGTTTAGAGAATTCGGAAATGTAAGTGGATCTTTCTATCTTATCACGTATATAAAAGACAAAATTATCATAAAAATTCTGATTTTCACAAGCTACTCATAAATATTTAACTTGCAATGCTTTAAATAAGTACTGTTTATATCAATTGCCATTTTCTACTAAAGGAGTAAATAATTCTGTTAGAGTTTTCCCTTGTTTCATTAGGTACAGAGTTAATGTGATTCAAATAAAATTGCCACTCTCCAAAAGTTTAAAATAAGATTCTGTTACAATATGAATAACAGAAGCCATAGCAGTTTTGGTGTTTAAAATGATATATTTTAGAAAGCAGACAGTTACTTACACTTTTAAATTAATTTCAGTGCCAGTCATAGAATGGAAGATGCTTTATGAAGGTATAACAGTGTCAATGTGAATGTAATTTACTGTTCACAACACATCACAGGAGTCCACAGATGGCCACAAGAAATAGCCCGACCCCCTGCAAGTCTCACAAAGCTTGCTGAGATTAGCAGGAAATGTATTTTTCTTCTCAATCAATTCATATTTAGATAAAAACATACCATTCCTTCTTATCATTTGAATGCAAGAAAGTATAGGTTTAGTTGCAACCTTTCTTACTCAACGTAAATGAGGCAAACTTTCCCTAGAAAATAAAAACAAAATGGCATTTTTAAAAGGTAAGACATTTTAATGCCTTTAAAAAATTATAGGTAAGTTAAGATGAAAAATGTTTGTAAGAGAGACTTGAAATTAATTGTTCTTCTTATCAGAATGATATATTGAAAACAGTATTAGGGAAGATAGGCTTACACAACTGAAAACATTCAGATGAATGTCTTTGAAATGTTTTAATGTTATGGATCAATAGCTACACATACACACACACACACACACACACACGCACACGCACACATTTGCTCCAGCCACTAGATAGAGAGTGTATCTGTGTTTCGTCTTTGAGAATGCCCCCCCAGCAGACTCTGAACAGAATTCTGGGTGGTGGTTTTCAGCTAAAAATAATTCAGGATTTGGATTCTCCAGAGATTCACCTGCTCCCTCATTATGCCAGAGTTTCAGAATTTCTGAATCATTTTTGTTGACAGGCACTGGATTTGCCCTTTTCAGGCCTAGGGTTTGTTGTGTTCTGTTTAGTGTTGTCAGATTTTTAATGGTCTTATTTCAAAACTCCAGGGACTAATGTGTAGTTCTTTGGTTTGTAAGTGCTTGCTTTAATCTCTGTTGTTGTTGTTGCTTGTGACAGAATAACTGAGCTGGATAATGTATAAAGAAAAAATTGATTTCTTACAGTTATAGAGGGTGAGATGTTCAAGGCAGAGGGGCTGCCTCTGGTGAGGCCCTTCCTGCTGATGAGAATCACATAGTGCTTCGAGACAGTGCAGAGCATCTCATGGTTAGGGGGTTGAGCTTGTTCATGTGCTATCTCAGGTCTGTTTTTCTTACAAAGCCACCAGTCCCCTTTTCATAACCTATTAATCCATTAATCCATTGATCCACGAATTGATTAATTCACTCATGAAGTCAGAGCCCTCATAATGCATTCATCTCTTAAGGATCTAACTCTCATTACTGCCACATTGGGCAATAAATTTCAACATGAGTTTGGGAGTGGACATTCAAACCATAACAGGGCTTTGTATATGAATAAGCCTGTTACTGTAGGAAGTTTACAATTTGGACCTAATTAAATTTAAGGTATTTGATAATGTTTTCTCACATATTCAAAACTTACGTACTTTAAGTCTCTAATATGAGGCTTTTCATAAAGTTATTTAGTTTTCAGAGCATTTTTTTCCTATCACAGGATAGTAATCAGAATTATTCTCTTAATTTGAGATATAAACATAAACATAAACATAAACTGAAAGACTAGTTCACACTTATGAAGAATTCAACAGACATTGCTTTTTTAATTTAGATATCAGCTACCACTTTTTACTAAAGACTAAATTGAATATACATTTTTATGACACTAAACTACTAGAGAGTTATATTTTAAAAATTGAGAAAAAATAAAGAAATACTTTTAAGTAGTAACTTGTGAAAATGGATATATAGCAATTAATTTTTATCAGTTAAGGGGTTGGAGTCTGACTTCACATAGATCAAAGTTCAAATCTTGGCCGTAAGAATAGACTATGGGGCACTTGAGAATGTTGCTTAATTTCTTCAAGACTAATTTATTTATCTATAAAAAGATGATAATAAGGATAAATCCTCATAGGAGTTTTGAGATTTAAATTGTATCACTCACAAAAAATTTTTGCATAGTACATGACATAGTTTTTACACTCCAAATTTAGCTGTTGTTATCATCATCACATTATTATTAGTATTCATCATTTTCTTCATGAATGATAAAATCACACATGGTAATTTTTCCAGATACATTTCTTCATATTTGTTAACTAAAGTGAATAAAATATAAACACTGACTCTATTTTTTGTTACTCTAGGACCAAGTTACCATTTCCTTCTCCTTTTCTAATTTTTAGTACATTGATAAACATCCAGTCTTTGAAGGACTGATGTTAAGGGCAGAGTGACATGGTACTTCATGTGTGCTGGGCTCCATGCCTTTGATGACAATTTCATTCAAAAGAAATCTTAATGGGAAGAACCCAAATAACTTGAACAATATGGGCAAATAATATGCAATATAATTACTACTTCCCACAGGATTATGACTTAATAGGAAAAGATATAATTTCTCTTTTGTTAAGGAGGGTGGCAAATAATATAATCTTAGTTCTAAATTTTATTGCAATAATATTTGGAAAAGATTTTTTAAATGCACTATATTTGGAGAAAGATCTGGTTTCTCTTTTGAAAGCTAAAACAGCGGCTCAGTCTGACCCACGGCTTAAAATGCCTAATGGAACCTAACAATTTTATGGTACTGTACAGAAAGTGATGCACTAGTTCCACCACTGTAATTTATTAGATGTTCAGTTTTAAGTAACATTCCTACCTTTCAGAGTTTAATTATTTTCAGATGTCAGATGATATTAATCATATCTGAGCTTACTAGCTCACAAGAATCAAATAACAAAACTGCAAAAAGCAAAATGAAATCAAACATGTAAAAGTATACAAAGTACTCTATCTAATAGGTATTCTAATAATAACTGGTATATGATTTTAACAGTTTAAAGGCTTTGGGTTTTAATATAATTATATATACTCCGAATTACATATTATACGTGTTTGTTTGTATATGTACATACATGTATAGTATACATGGGATTCACTTCCACCTATTAACTTCTTTGTTTAGTTCTATTTTACCAACGTCTTTTTGTAGACTGGGAAATTTATTTTCACATCTCTCTTTATTGTGAAACCCCCCAGGCATAAAACTAGCAATAGGGAGGAGAAGCCTGGTTCTCACTTGTTAGCACCTATCCAATCAGGCTTTTGTTGAAATGAAAAATGCCTGATGGACTTACGCATTTATATTTTATTCTGGAATGTTCTGTGATAACCCTATCTACCCATGATTTCTGATCACCCCACTTTTCTCATCTCAAACTGGAGGCTTACATAGATTGTCTAATTCTCTCTCAGAAACTTCTCCACTACTTACTGTAGAGAACAGACATTTGGATGTTCTTTTCATAATATGTGGGGAGCTCAGTATTCTGTGAGGCTGCCATCAAGTATTTACCTGGATGCTTTATCCAATAACTGTCAGTCAATAGTTGGTGTGCTGCTGGGTGTGGAGTGGGCTCTTCTATGAGAGATTCACTTCCATAGTCCACCCCATTGGAACCTAGCCATAGATATCTTTGGTTTCAGAAGTTTGAGGTTCCCTGAAGTTTTTTTACTGAGGAAGAAAGCAAAAACCCTTTTAAGATAACCACAGGAAAAAGAGTGACCTCCATTAAGCTATTTTTTTTTTTTAATGGAGTGTTGCTCTGTCACCAGGCTAGAGTGCAGTGGCGCGATCTCGGCTCACTGCAAGCCCCGCCTAGTGGGTTCAAGTGATTCCCCTGCCTCAGCCTCCCGAGTACATGCTATCTTTATCCTTAGTTATCCTATAAGCATACTAACTCTCCCTTTTAAACCAGAAAAATTCAGTCTCACATGCCAGTGCCTTTCCCTGAACTCTGTTACAGAGTAAACTGAAAGTTCTCTTTGATTAAATATTATCTTTTGCTTTAACAAAGACAGTATTGGTGTTGAAATAATGTCATTCACCTTTTCTCTTTCAAGACCTTAGTTCTTCGTAAATAATTGCATCTTTGCCTTCAAAACTCTAATTTACATTAAAATATTAAGCATCTGATTAGAAGATAAATTGACTTATTTGTTCTTTTTTAGAAGGTCATTTTATCAGCTCCTCTTCCGTGAAGTGAATTAATAAGGGCCGATTAGGTGACAAATGTCATTGACTCTTAGTAGAATGAAAAGGTACAGGGGTCATATATGACTGCTATGGTTGCCATAACAAAGTACCACAACAAGGTGACTTAAACAGCAGAAACATCAGAGTCTCATAGTTCGGGAGGCTAGAAATCCAGTTGCTGGCAGCATTGGTTCTTTCCAACTGCTTCGAGGGAGAATCTCTTCTATGCCTCTCTCCTACTATTTTGTGTTTCTTGGCAAGCTTTGACATATGAATGTCTGTCTTCAAGTTCACAAAGTTTTCTCCTTCCGTGTGCGTGTGTGTGTGTGTGTCTATGTCCAAATTATTTCTTTTTATAAGGACACAAGCCATATTGTATCATAAGGCTTATCCTACTCCAGTAGGACCACTTCTTAACAAATTATGACATTCCGATGTACCGAAATTTAGAACTTCAACATATGAATTTTAGGGACAGGACATACCATTCAACCGAAAACAAGCCACAAAGACAAAACTTTCTTAGTTAATACATCTGAAGCCTGTTCTGCTATGAATTATCCTTGGTACTTTATTCACTGTAGCTTGTCTTTACTATCACAGGCCATGCAATTCTTTGTAATCTAACTTGTAGCCAAAATGCTGATTTCTATTCATTGTGTCCTCTCCATGTATCCATGCAAAAAGGGTGCTCTTGCATATCTGCATATGAGAAAGCTATATTTACCCACATATATCTGTAAAAATAGTACCAGAAGAAATAACACAATAAAATGTACACAATGAGGAATATACAATTCTTGTTACCATACATTAGATAAGAAATAACAATCGATTCTTCGAGCTATTGAAAACGTCCTTTTTATATCCTTCCTAACATTCAATATATAGCACACATCAGCAAACTTCAGAAGAAAATCATACTCCTACATAAATTATTCTACTTCTTTCTCATGAGTTAAACAAACTTTATTTTGAAAAGTACATTTAAACAGACTTGTAGTTTGAAAAGTAAAGAGCTTATTAAGTAAGTTAAATTAGGAGTTAACACAGCTTATTCTTTCAGCAGTACATAGATGTGTTACTCATTC